CCTCCCTCTGCGCATTCCCTTTCTCCAAGGCCACCCTCTGTGATTTCCCAGCAGGAAATCTTTGCATTGTAAATGCCCTTCCAGGGGCCCAGCTATTGGCAGTGAGAGCCAGAAGTTAACGGGTGCCGCAATTTTAGGGGGAGTTGCCCCCCCCCCGCCCCAGAGCTTCTCCAAAACTGATTCTGGCCTTTCAGCCCAAAGGCTGGAGGGAGGTTCCCCACCCCAGCATAAAACCGACCAAGGCTGGCACAGCTCACAAGGGCACCAGGAGGCGTGAAGGTGGTTGGCTTCCACTCCTGCCGCCTGGCCTGGAGCAGAACTGCCCCTCTGCTTCAAGCCCACCCCCCACCCCGCAAAGGTCTCCCCACTTCCCCTCCCAGGAAGTGGAGAAGACACTGGGAGAAGCGCCAGGAGGGAGGGGAGGAGACAGAGGTGGGAAATGACAGTCCTCTGTCGTCTCACTTGCTCCTCGAACAGTCCTTTTTCTCCGTGGCCACTCTCAAAGGCTGGTCCTCACATGAAAAGAGTGCTGCTCTGAGCATGTACAGAGAGCCCCCTCCCTCCATGGAACATGCAGACGAAGAGCTTCTCCATACATCTGGAAAGAAGGCCAGAGGCCTCGGTCAGTCTTCGGGTCTAGCAACTGCGCTCACCCCACGCAGCCCTCCCTGCTTCATTCTCACCCCCCCCCGGGGGGGTCAATTCTCTGAAGAGCACCCAGCCCCGGAAAGTTTCACAGAAGCTGCTTTCCCCGGCAGTCTCCACCCGCTCAAAACAAGCACTGGGCTGCGTCCGCCACGGAGAGCGCGCGATGCTTCGCACGAAGCCAAGGTGGCTCGCCCTGCTGGAAGCTGAAAAAGCCAGGAGTGCGGGACACTGCAAGCAAGCTCCGCCGGCACGGACTGCAACCGCCATCGGTTTCCCCCACTCCCGCCCATGCCGCTGCCCCCCGTTAAGGCTCAGGGGTCTGTTCAGCAAGTTTCAGTCCCAAGCAAAGCAAAGCAAAGCAAACCATCAGGGTTAAACCGTTAACTGTGGATTATAACAAACATGCTGACGGATCTTTAGCTTTAGTGGCACACCACCAGCTATAATTCTCCATATTGATTAATTTAGTTAGTTAAACCTGCAATCTAAGCTTATAACCCATTCAGTGATAAATTGAGACCGACCTGCTGCCCAAGCAGGTTTCGTTGATGAGGAATAGGATCGGGTTTAGGTCTCCCACAGAAATACTTGTCCATTTACCATTTTCAATTAGAGAAGCCCATGAGTAAGGGAAAGCAAAACATGGCTCTTTAACCTGGTCAATTATACTAACACACTGCACCAAAACGAGGGAGGGAGCAGAGGGGGAGAGAGAAACCATGCTCAGAGGGAAGGAGAGAATGTTCTGGAAGCACAGGTACTACACCATGGGGTTTGTTCATCATTTGATGCAGAAGAGTCTGAAAGAAGCGTACAAACAAGGCAGAAACTTCGGCAAAGGAAAGGCAGCAGCCCCTTGGGTCATCGGCAGAATCTTGAGTCCAGCCAGTTCCCAGAGAAGATACGAAGGGTCCTGGGGTACAGCAGGAGTTCCAGTTTTCCTGCCCCTCCATCCCACCAGCCGCCTGCACCAGAAGACACGCACTGGAGAGAAAGGGGCCAAAGCTCTTTCTCTGAGCATCGGCAGCAGAACCAGATTAATGCTTCCCCTGCCTCCCACTCTGCATCCTTCCTTGCACCCAACGGAAGATGAAACGCAGGAAAATGGACTGTCCAGGCCACGTGTGGAGCAGACTGGGGCATGGGGAGGGAAGTGAAAAGCCAGACAGAGTGTCCAAGGCCCCAGGAGATTCCTGCACTCCTCGACCCTCGTTTGTTCAATCCACAGCTCACCTCCACAGGGGGAAAGCTTTGGAAGGAACGGATCCTGGGTCTTGGGTCCAAGCGGAAACACACACTTCAAACCCAGCGCAGTTTCTGAGCAAGCTTGCAGCAAGAGGACGCGTTGCTCAGCCAGCTGCCCCTTTCCCTGCAAAGACCTCCTCGTCCTTAGGCCCGGCACTACAGCTCACGGCCGCCAGAACGCCCGGCTGCCAGGCCAGACTTGCTCACAGACTCAGCTAAGCCAGGCCAAAGGCTCAAGGCGAGTCAGCCAGCGCAGAGGTGGACCTCAAGCACGATTCATGAGCATCCGGGGGTGCAGTGGGAGCCGCTCCCTGAGCCACTGGGAAGCAGTGCCCTTGAACCCTGAGCACCACACAGCCCCATGTGCTTTCTGGCAACGGCCTCCTCAGAGGCACGGCAGGGCTGAAAATCCTTCCTGCCAGTGGGACTGCACTCAGGAGTGAAAATCTGCTATTTGTAAAATTAATTTTATAAGTACATTTTTCATGAACCCATCCAACTCTGTACTTTGAAACCACTGAAGTTCATCAATTCCCCTTATGATTCAAAAAGCAGCACAAAAAAAGGACTCCAGTCTCCCGCAACTCTAATGTTCAGGAGCATTTTGCACATTGCATTTCCTTTTAGATTCACACTCGTACAAAAATAATACGAATTTGCGAAGTGCTGCATCAGACTTGAGTATTTTTCAAGGAGCTGCCCACAGCAAACATAGGGTTTACTTCTCATTAATGCACACGGTGGCTTTTAGAAACCTTCTGGTTTTTATCGCATCGTTTTTGTAAGCTGCCTTGAGTGCCATTTTTGGTAGAAAGACAGCAATAGCTATTTAAATGTATAGGATTTTGTCTTTGGCACGCAGGTTCTCCACAATTCCATTTCACAGGCACATGTTTAAAGGTGCAACCTTGCACATATTAAGCATTCAGGCAGTCCCCAAGTTATGAACATCCAAGTTATGAACAACCCATACTTACAACCCATACTTACTTAATAGGCCATAAAGTCTATTAATTAAAAAAAATTACTGCAGGAAAGCATCATCACCAGAGAGCAAGAGGAAGCAGAAGGGGACGGGAGGAAGGCCTTCAGAACATGTCATCCAGGAAGGGAAATCTCTCCAGGATTTCTATGCTGCTGTTGTTGTGTTCAGGAGGGGGAACAGGTGCTATGGGTATTTGTGGCTTTTCCACCTTCATGGGGAGCCTGAGCCCCTCAAATGTGGAGGGCCAACTTACATTTAATTCAACTTAAAATACAAGTTTCCATTTTCACAGGGACAAAGCTCATTTGTAACCTGGGGACCGCCTAGATAAGAAGCGACACCACTGGCAGCGCCCCTCAGCCAGCACGTACCTTAAGACCTCTTCTAGAATGCAGAATCCCACAGCAGACTTTCAGCTTTTAAAAGCAACCTGAGTTTATGGACTAAGGATGAATGACGCAGAGCTTCAGAAATTAGACACGGGCCCCGTGCAGATGCAACACTGGCTCCCTCGAAACCGTAGTTTAAAAATTGGGGAGCGGACTCAGGGACTTACATAGTTTGCAGGTAACAGCCAAGCGTCTGGGTCGTCACTGAGAACCCGTGACTTTCCGCTGGGCTGCTAACTCTGGATTGTTTGTGATGAATGAGTGCTAGTGTGTCTGTAGTGCAGGGATTGCATGTAATCGCAACCCGTGATTCAACAACAAAGCACAATTCCACGACAGCCCACATTCAACCTGCCCACTCCAAGGCCTTGAGTGCAGGTGTGTCCCCCTTTGGGAGGCAGGGCCTTCTCTGCAGTGGTGCCTCATTAGCAGAACCCACCCCTACCTACTGACCCAGCTGGCACCTACCTGGCACCTCTTAGGCGCTGCAGAAAAGGTTTTGTGTAGCTGGGAGTTCAATGGTCTTTCCTGTAACTGAACTTTGCCGTTGTGGTTTATCTGGTCAGGCAGACGAAGGTTGCCAAATAAGCCATTTTTATGTGCTTGTTTTCATTCTAGTGTGCATTGATCTAATACGGTTCTAAGCCATCCCAAAGATGGCGATCAAAAAGTAAGGCAGAAATATTTTAATTTTTAAAAAAATCTACCCCTCAATCATTTTGCCAACCTTAACCACTGTTAATGTTATGACTGAGCCAACAATAATCATGGTTTCCATCTTAACCAAGATTTAAAATGAGGGTTTGGTGTAGCCTTGCAGGCCCTGCTTGGGAGGAATTCTGGTCGCATCCGTGCAGATATATTCTGAAGAGCTGACAAGGGAAAGCTAGTTGTACGCCCTGGGAGGGGGATGAATACATTCTTAAGCTGGACTCCAGATTTGCAATATTACATCAGCCTGAATAAAGAGGTTCCCATTTCAAACTGGAAATGCCTGCATGTATTAGCACTGCCGCCATCATTTAACCTGCTCGTTTCATGTACAAACTTTGATTTGTTTTCAGCTTGTGCTGGGAACTTCATATAACAACTTTGCAGCATTGAAAAGATCAAAGTAAAGGCAATTGCTCTTATTAACCTTATTAGCCGAGAAGAAAAGCAACACAATTTTGTTCGTCTTTAGTTCTTCACAAGAGCAATATCGTCATTTAAGGTTTCTGAAGGTGACTTATCAGAATTGCTGACTTAATGGGATTTTGTTGCTTCTCATTAAACAGCAAAATAACGAGTGTGTAAAAGGGCTTAAATGAAACACATCATGATACAACATGGTGCAGTTTGCGGGGTGGAAAGGCAATGAGACTGGGAGGAATTAAAAACTTAAGAGTGAACTCTGAAGGGGAAAAAGGTCTAACTTCAGCAAACACTATCCCCATAAATTATGTACAACTGTATAAAATGTGTCAGGACTTATAACTTAAAAATACTTCCTCCTCACAGAATCTAAGCAAAAATTAAAGCATTAGAACTTGGCATATTCTTGCATTTCTTATTCTAACAAGCAATTTAAGGCTTACTATAAATGTCACAGGATATGTCAGTTCTAAGTTTATATTATCCAGCTTGAGCAAAACATGAAATATCAGAGAGCCTCAGCCGCTTCGCCTTGCACACGGGCAGATCTGATGGGTGCGTCTGTGGAATCTTAAACCAGAGATTACCAGTCATCTTACCGCGAGGTGTCACGCTGGATTGGGGAGGCGGCCGTCGCAGCACACGCCTTTCTGCTGCCTGTCAGTCCGGGGGATGTAGCCGCATCCTTCCGGGAGCCTGGAGCCATCCCTGTGAAAAGAGAAGAAAGGCACATAGGGACAGGTGCTGGGGCTGGAAAGTTCTGGACGGTCTTCCTCGCTTCCTTCTGCCTGAAGTGCGAACACGAGGCCCAAACGCCACGCTGCTCTTTGGGGCCCTATATATATGGCGAATCAGGAGCCAAAGGAGTTGTTACGGTTGACAGGTATGGAGCTGGAAATATATTTCCAGGGCCGCCAGGAGTCATAATTGCATAATGCAGCACCCACAGCAGACCGTGTGTCACTACGGCATGTGACAAGTTACCATTCCCTTGTGACCTCCGGACCAATCCCTGAAAACCTCACCCCTGAATCTGCAGTGTTCTCTGGAAACCTGCAGCGCACGCTCTGTACTATTTCATGTGTGGACAATAATTTGAGATTCTCGGAAGCACACAAGGAGCCATCGACTTTCTATTTTAATTCTCCCGGAAACTCATTTCTTTTGTACCTCCAAAGCTTCATATTAGCTGCACATCCATACATTAGAAACTAATTCTGAAATCAGCCCTCTGAGAAAAAAGGGTGGAAGAGAGAATAAAAGATCAGAGGCTGGTTTCTGAGATGAGCTTAATCCAAAAATATACTACAGAGGCCATCAGGATCTCTTCAAATGGTATATAGTGCAAACATGTCAAAGGAGGACGTGGGGAAGACTTGCATATCTACTTTCAATATATTTGGCTCTGAGAAAGATACTTTTCTCTGGAAACCAGGATACTGGAGCCTTCTTCAAGTAACACAGAAATCAGTTCTCTGCTGACGAGCCACTGCTGAAAGCTTGAGCAAGGCTGAGACTATTTCGAGTTAGCAACTTCCATATTCTCTCCACAGCTGCCTTTTCCAAGGCCACACAGCCACCGGCAGGGCATCACCGTGACAGAGTGGCTGACGCTTTCCATATGAAGCCTCCAGAAGGATGTGCTGCCATTTTAGGACTGTTCGAAGCTGCTTGACAGAGTCCAGCCGCTGGTTCACTCAGGACAGGAAGTGGCTCTTCAGAGGCACTTCCCAGCCCCAGCTGGGGGTGCCAGGGACTGAAGGACCCGGCCTGCACCCCAAGTGATGGCTTTCCCAGAGTCTGAGGGGGAAAGGACAACACGGTTGCCTTGATCAAAACTGACCGGAGCCTTTGGAAGACGTATTACAAGCTGGAACCAGCCAGTCAGCCATGTTCAGTCCTGGCAGAGCGACTCCCTAGCAGTGCCTGGAGGCCTGACGGAGCCGAAGAGGCTTGAGAATGATCCAAGATAAACAGCAAGGGAGTCAGAATGCAGAAAACCTTGACAGTAAAGATGTGTGGGGGGGGTGTTATCTCTGGGTGAGCACGCTTGGGAAACGCTCCAAATCTTGAAGGCACAAACTCACTCGAAGCTTGCTACAGGTCAGTTTAAATTTGAAGAATACTAAAAGCGTGGTGTTGGCCATGGCAAAGGACTGAGAAACAAAGTATTTCAGTTTTACCCAAATATGTTCCATAAGCATTCTTTTTTTATTTATGATATTAATACAGGCCACACCAAGAATACATTCTCCAGGCAGGTCAAAAATATATCAGATCCAATAAAATACAGTAACCAAAAGCAAGCTGCAATATGACATTTCTTGTTGTTGGCAGAGAGAATAAAACTGAATGATAAAAGATCAGTTAAACCAAGTCAAACAGGTGAAAATGGCATGTTAAAATTCACAATTTCCAGGGAGCCCTGGGAGCATAGAAAGGTACTGGTACTGGCTTTTGGTACTGAGATGAGCGGAAAGAAAGCAAAACGAGGGTCTCTGGGGAACCTCGCCAGAAAGAGATCATGTCCCTATTTTTCAGGTCACGAGGCAGCCCTCAAATATGCTGCAACATACAAAAGGAAACAGCATTCACAAACGTCAAGGAGTTTGGTCCATTCTCGTTATTCACAGTCGATTCCCCATTGCAGGGAGATGTCACTGCTTTCCCCTCGCAGGGGGGCTCTTTGCTCATCAAAGCAAATGGAGCCTGGCTTTGCGCTTAACCCCTTCTTCTCCCAGCAAGGCCTTGAAAGACCGGCATTGCTTTTCAAATTTGGTCGGGGGGCAGGTAAGTAGTTTAAAGTCAGCTGACGTGTACAGCTGCAGGATCTTTGGCTGAAGTTGCCAATTCCCAGCGGTGGCACAGTGTCCTGCAGCAGGCCAACGAGCCGCAAGGGGCTTCGCACAAGTTCCTCTGACACAAACGGACGTTGTGCAACTCCGATGCCGTCTGCGTTTAGTCCAGATCTCCCATAGGCCATATCCCACTGCGTGTGGCGAGAGGCAATCTGTTAATTACTACAAATCACACCTTTGACTGCCAAGCCAGCATTTATCGGCCTATAATTCTCCCGACCAAATGGCTACGAAAGGGGGGAAAAGAGGGAGATGGGACCACAAGAACTATGGGAGCAGCTCCATCTGTTTTAGGACATTTATGCTTGAGGAAACCTATGGAAAAGTCCTACAAACAATAGGGTAGGGTATCAGTTCTAATACATGGCATTTAAAGGATGGAGTGGGAGGGGAAGAAAAGAAATAATGATGGTTCAAAAAAAATGAAATGAAAGAAAGGAAGAAAGGAAAAGGAAGGAAGAAAAAAAAAATCCATCAGTGAAAATTGCCCCTGAAAACTTCACAGAATTGTAACGGCTTTCTCTCGCTTAAATTGATTGGTGTAGCAACGTTATGAGATGACTATTAGAATTCATTGCGCGCCACAGAAAGAGCTGAAATGTCAGCAGACTGTACAGCAAAAGTAATGGGTCCTGAACTCCTGTTAGTCAAAAATGATTTTGTTTCAAATTAGAAATTGATTTCTTTTGGACACAAGCCCTTTGCCAGCTTCCAACTGTTGTAGCTGAGCCTTGGAAGAGATTAACCTCACCCTCTGTTCGGGTCCCCCTCTGATGATACCCTTTCAAAAGTTTCTTTCACAGCAAATGCTTTTTTAATGTGGCCACGGTCTTAACCAATAACACAAGTTGTTTGTTCCTTGGAGAGCTCCACCGCGTTTTGCCGTTCTTTTTATTTTTCTGCTGACACAAATCACAAACTCATTGACAACTGGAAAGGAAAGGAAAGGAAAGGAAAGGAAAGGAAAGGAAAGGAAAGGAAAGGGGACGACAACTGGAAAGCAAACAAAAGAGTATGTTAGGCTGTGTGGCAAAACTCCGACTGGTTTGCCTCCTTCCTTAAGTAGCTACGCTGAGCTAAGAGACAGAAGGATGCAATGGCAGTTGCAGAAGAAGCTGGGTGCCCGTCCGGTCACCACACTCCCTTCAGGAGGAAATCAGAAAGCTTCTCTTCTGGGCACTTGTTCACCACACAAGTAGCCTCAGCAGCCACCACAGGAACACCATTCAGTAGCCTCAATACCGGCGGCTATTGGGCTGACAAAGCAAGGTGATTCCTTCCTGCCCTCCCTATCTCTCGGGCTAAGGTGGGAGGCAAAGAGAGCAGCCTCTCTTGCAGCCGGCCGGTCAGTTCCTGGCAGACGATGGAGAGATGGCCAGCTGCAAGCTTTCTTGCAAGCGAGCGGGTACATCCAACGTTACTTGAGCAGAGAGTGCAACGGGACCGCCCTCCCCGCTTGCCCACTCCATTCCCCCGGAGCAGCTCTGGCAGGGGAGGGGGGACCCATTCCTCTGGTGGACAGGATCCCTCTAGGAACCCATCAATGAATCGCAAGCACTTTATGAATGCCAGTGGCTCAGAACCTCTGAACAGAACTCTCAATGCGAGTAAGGAGGTGATCCGGAGGCACGCTTGCCGTGCAAACTGAACACAAACTAGATGCGATACTAACTGCATTCACACGATTCAGATTTATGTGAGCGTGAACCCTTGTCATCCAGAGCAGTGGTTTTCACCCGCCCGTCCGCGGACCAGCGAGCTTTCCTGCCAGTCCGTGGGGGGACTGTGCCCCGCTCGCCGCAGATAGGCGTGGGGCTGGCTGTGCTCCCCCACCTCTTCCTCGGTTCGCACTGCATTCGTGGGGGGTGCATTGGCGCTGACGGGGGGGGGAGGAGGGGCACAGAGGGGAGCGACAGCTCGGTGGGAGCCGGCTGGGAGGCACGGTGTGCTGCTTTTGGAATTTTTTTCTTTCGTTGGCATTTTTTGTTGCCCTGTTTCTGGTTGTTTAGCAGAATTTTCTTTTTCCTTTTTTGATACTGTGTTTGGAAGCTAACACACAGGATACTGTATTATGTGTGTGGTGCTTTTCGCTTCTGCCTCAGAGGTGGCTTCCCTGTTTTTGCTGGTCCCCAGCTGTGGAAAGGTTGGAAACCACTGCTCTAGAGCAAAAGCCAGGCACGGAGATCGCAGGCACGCGAAGGGAGGGCTATCCCAAATGGCTTCGCCCTCTTTCGTCCCCACCTGGCGTCACATGCTCCAGTTCCTTCTCCTGTTCCCTAGTTTGCACCACCCAACTTCACTGCCCACTACGGTTTGCCTCTATAAAGAACCTGGCTTTTTCTGAGGAAAAGGTTTAATATGGGTGACTATCCCATTTTGTTAACAAGGGCAAGAGGTTCCAGGAGCTGCTGAGATGCATCGGGGGGGGGGTGTATCTGGGGGAGGCTCGTCTGCCCCCAGGGAAGGTTAGGGTGTCTTTAGGAAATCAGACAGCCTGGGAAAAACAGCGGCAGAGCAATAGCTAGACTGGGAAGCCAGGCCTGAACGGTGCAAGGAGACGAAGGCCAGCAGTGCAGAATGGAAGCCTCCAGAGGCAGCCCTGGGGGGGGAACCGAGGCCTGCGTGGCCGTGGGTTGGGAGGAGCAGCAGCCGCTGGGCCAGATTTCAGGAGAAGCCTGAACAACACTGAGGCAAGGCCGCAGGCGGAAGTCAGCCTCTCCTGGAATATTAAGCCGCACTTCCAGGCCTCTGTGCTCACTGGAGTGGCGCATGATAGGGAAGCCGGCGTGCGTATTGTGGCCATTCGGAACAGGGGCTTGCATGCACTCAACGGTGGCAACAGAAAGCGTACAGAAGTACTGCTTTCCAAGCAGCAGAACAGAAACCTAGCTGGAAGGACTCATACAAGAAGTCACAGTGCTGAATTTACGAGAGCCGAGCAGGGCTGTCAAGGACAGGAAATTTTGGAGGGTTCTCACTCATAGGGCTGCTGTAAGTTGGAGACGAGTTGGTGGCACAGAACCACAGAAACCGTGCTCTTAAAATAACAGCAATTGTACGCAAGCCCTCTTGATTTATTCCCTTTTAATAAAACGCTCTGCACCTCTGCTCACTTTACCACTGGCCTGTTCGCCTCACACCAACTAACCAGCTGCCTTGTGTAAGCACCGCATACGAGGTACGGGGGTGCAGATTTACAGTGGCAGCAGAAGTGAATGCCGGCGGACCCCAGGAGGGGCTGTACCACATGTGGTGTTAGTAGAGGTGGGAACACCCCACCCAAGGGGCAGGTCATCACAGCTGACGGCTGCACAGTGAGAATGCCCCAGGAAAACGGTTTCTCCACAGCTTTCACATCAAAATGGCAAGCCCTGCTTTCCCAAGCCGATTTTCTGGTAAATCTGGGGGGAAGCACTGCTCATGACAGACCCAGTGGCAGAGTCCAAAATGGTACCAGTTGTCAAGCTTATCATCATCCCGCACTGGAAGACAAAACATCACTAAAGAACAAAAGACACCAATTAAGGAAAGGATGTGGTTAACCGGGCATTAAAATAATATTTCCCGAGTTTCTAACTTAGGGAGGTGTGAGCGGATTTGAAAAGATTTAGACATGTTCTGTTAGTTCGATAAAATGTTTTGTCGGATATTTACTGTTGTCCTGGGGACGGTATGATACTTCCACTCTATGGCCTTTAATTTAGCCAGCTGAAACAGAAGAAACAATTAGAAGCCTCCTTAGCGAGCTTAATTTGGAAGTGCCTTCCTGGCCGCCGAGAGAGCCCTGAACACATGAAGCCAACATCACGCAGATCCCAACCACCCCTGTGCCTCCGGGGCAAATTCTGGAGGTGCACAGAGACCCACGTGGCTGCCATTGGAAGGGCGCCCACTTCAGGCTGCAACTGGACCACCGGCACAGATGGAGAGGCAAGATGGGGAGGGACGAAGGAGATGGTTCACCGGGGCCAGAGGCTCACCGTTAAAACCTGTGCATAAAGGATGGCGGGATGGCGATGTGAGCAGTTCGGCCATTCCTTGGGGAACCTGGAGACCAGCTGGCCAAAGCTTCTTTCCAGGACACAGACTCTAAAGCTCTGGAAACGCGTGAGAACGCAGCCCTGCCTGATCTCAGGAGATCCATTCTGATGGGACGGTAGGGCAGGCCCGTTCCAACGGCGGAGGAGGAAACATGTTGCCGGATCGGCTGCCAGCACCTCCGTCCCGGCCAGGCCCTTGCAATGCAGAACTGCACCTCTGCGATATTAAAGGGGAGAAGGGCGACCGGCACCGCCAAGGCCGGCTGCCATCACGAGCTGCCCAGGGGAAGCAAGGAGCTCCCTGGGCACCGTGCAGAGAGCTTTGGCCAACGGACGGTGCAGAAAGGAAACAAGAGCAGAAGGTTTACTCGGGCGCACGCCTTACCTCCTCTTGGCCAGGCGGCTTCCTCTTCCTCGGTGTGCTCCCAAAAGCCTTCTCCTGCCTCCTGGGCACCGAAGCCGACCCTCTTCTTCCCAGAACTGCTCCCTCCAAGGCCTCCTGGGGCTCTGCAGCCTTTCCCAGACACAGGCGTGTTTGAAAGGCAACCTTCACAGCTGGGCTTGGAGGAGCTGCAGACAAGGAATTCAGGTGTCACATATTCTGTTTTTAGCCTCACCCACCCTCTCTCCTCAACTCCGACCGCAGCTTAGCTCTGTATGTGAGAGGACGATCATGCACGAAGGGCCACGAAAACCAGAGCCCTGTCAGGCTATTCAGCAGCCTATAAATTTGAAAATAAATGAACAGATCAACCACCAATTAGCTTCCAGTTCTTCTGGACAAATACAGCTTAGCATAGAAGTCTAGAAAAGTTTGTAAGCCACACATTTTAATAAGCTTGTCTGACAATAAATGAATGGGTTATTTGTGGCTTGTTGATGGCCAGAAAGAAACAAAGATCACAAGAACAAACTAGAACCTTTCTAACCGACACAGTGTCCTTTCCCCATATTGCTTGGACACCATTTCTGGGCTTTCAATAATTTAAAGCATTGTAAGGTATTGTATTGTTACAAAACGTCTTGTAAGATACATTATGATATCTAGCCACGTTTAAGCAACACAGCCGTGGCTGTGCCAGTACTGAAAAGATTCCACTGCGGAGAGAGAGGAGGGAGAATATAGGCTGCTTATTTGCTCGTTGGTAAAAACGGCACACGGAGGCTTCATAATGGGACTGATCAATCTTAATAACACATTAAGTATTTAAAAATGCGGAGGTGGAGCTTGCAGCAGAGGGTTGCAGAACACAATGTGCTTGTCCAATTTCTAGATCAACCAGGCAGCCCAGTTTGCGTCTGGGATGTTCCACCCCAGCCTTTCCCAACCCTCCATTCCTTTCACTGACCATATGCTCAGCGCTCTGCAACTACAGAGCCAATGCCGTTCTCCTTGCGCTGCTCCCTCACCCCTCAGGCTTTTCACCTAAAAATATTCATGCATTAGTTCCGCAGATCTTGAGGTTGCGATGAGCAGGCCAACTGCTCCCTGTTGTTCTGGGGGGACCCGTTTTCCGGTGGCTCTCAGTGGCTGTGCTCACTCTTAGAAGGATATGAAGCTCCTCGTGCTGGGGTACATGTTAAGGAAAACCCATCTGGACCAACGCCAGTGACCAACTGCAGATGTGGAAGGATCAGCGACACCCTTGAGATGACGTGGAGGGGCAGGACTGCATAGGTAGCCCCTCTCGTCTCCTGGGGAAATCCACCTGCCTCCCTCGGGTTGTGCAATATGCCTCTGCCTCAAATATACCAGAGGCACTCTCGTTCACTCAGGAGTTTCAGCACAATTAGCATCATTTAAAAGATATTTAAGAAGCCAGTCGTTATTTTGGCACTTTCTGGGTTTCCAGGGTAAAGCTTTAATTAGAATTGATAGCCCTGTTTTCTGAAGAGGGTGACCTTTGACTTGCAAAATTAGTGGGAGGAAGTTACTTTGCCGGAACACTCAAATGGCTTCTCTTGACAAGGCAAGGTTACCTCTAGGTTGGAATATTGCTTTCAGGGTTGAGTAGCACTACAAGTGCCAGAGAAGGGGAAAAATTAAATTGCTAATTTTAAAGGACAGGATGGGAAAGAAATAAAAAACGTACAGCATAGAAATGCGCTAACAAGGCCTTGGGGTCTGACCCTTCAGCTCTTACCGCGAACAAAGGCCTGGAGGACCGGAAACGTAAAAAAAGAGAAGAATTAATATCAGGTAGGGATTTCAAGGGCATCAACACGTAGATCCTCAAAGGTGCAGAAGCCTGGCTTCCCCCTGAGCGAGGGAACAGGGCTCCTGACCATCATGCCATTGGGTCTGGGGCTTCTGCGGCCCCAGGGCACGTCCCTCCCACCCCACCCGCAGGAAGAGCGTCTCCAAAACCTTCAGCCCAGCTCCATTATTTCTTGCAATGATCTGGGTCAATCTGGCTTCCCCACCTTAGCGTCTCCAAAACCTTCAACCCAGCTCCATTATTTCTTGCAATGATCTGGGTCAATCTGGCTTCCCCACCTTGCTCTCTCCCCTCCTTCAAGCATTTCCTCAAAGCCCAACTTTCAAGCATGGCCTTTAGCGTACCTCCTTACTCCGCCTTCTCAACGGCAACCAGGCCTTGTGCATGTGAAAGCGTGCCTCCTTGTCCTCATCTTCCCTCTTTGTGTTGCCCTACATGCCCTATTTTCGCTTATATGGTCTTGCGAGGACGCTGTTTTGGAGTACTGATTTCTGTAGAGCGCTCAGTGAATGGGCATGTTTTTTGTTATTCAAATAACAGTTCCAGGCCCGGGAGGGCTGGGGGAATCTAAGCAACTTTGAATCCATGATGGACAGAGAGGGAAAGATTATTTCTCTTCCTCTGCACCACTAAACAATCTGTATTTCAAAGAAGCCGCCAATGGAACCCATGGAGGTGTTGCTCAAAATACAAAGAGCAGCTTTGGGGAGGCGGTTTTGCCAGGAATGTGGCAAGGAGAGGTAATTTAAAACGCCTTCACACCTCCACGCACAGGTATATGTCCAGAGGCATAACTACCACATACTGTACATAGCAAGAATGCACAAATGTGCAATTGCACAATTAACATCCTATCCAGTTTGGCCTTCAGGCCTGGCAGAATTGCCCTCTGCTCTTCCCCAAGCCCAGAGGAAAGTTCAGCAGATGGGTATGTAATAGTAGGACTGTCTCTCTAGAGCATCGGTCTTTGCTACTGAGCTTTTAACTCTGCCAAGAGGTGATCTTACCTGCCCCCTCCCCTGTGAGTGTAACACATATTTGACTCAAGCTTTTAAGGATCTGAAGCCACTCTTTGAACTGGGTCCAGAAACACACCAGTACCCAGAACAGTGCAAAAACCATCCATTCGATTCCCTTTTTCTTACACCAAACAGAAGGTAGTCTAAGGCACTTGACATCAAGAGAAGCCTCTGCGACATCTTCAGTGGCAGCCCTAATTTAACAAGTGGCATAAAAGCATTTTTCACTGGTTTTATTTCCATCCTGCCCCAAAGCCAAAACCCTCCACTAAGGGAGCACATACACAGATGCTCCCCCCCCCCCACCCCCGGGTGGGCACTGTGCGTCATCCTCATGGTTAAGCAGGGCAGGAGGAAAGGAGGAGAAGGGGAGGGCCTGGGCCAGGCCGTACGGACAGAGAAACGGGAAAGGCCGCAACGCCACCTTCACGCAATGTGTGTGCCCATGGAGGATGGTGGGAATATTCAGGAGGCAGGCGGAGCCTGTTAACCTGACCCGGTGCTTACCCGAACGTTAATCATTTTAACCCGGTAAAAGGCTGGCTCAAACTCTGCAGCGGTTAAGTGCTAAATAAAGGATTGGATGTATTGTCGTCACGTGTTGCAAACCGCTTGGGAAGCTCAGCTAGTGAGCAGTAGGGAAGCTCAACCAAAGCTGCAGAACGTGGAGCTCAGAGGTCGGCCCCGTCCCCACAGGAGCCCACAAGCAGGCTGCTGGGTTCTCCAGCCCCTGCCCTGCCGTGGCTTCCGGGCTTTTGTTCTGGGCCCCTCAATCTACGAGGGTGAAATGCCTCTCCTAAGGCTAATTACTGGCAGGAAAGGCTTGATGCCAAGATCTGTTGGTGTTTTCAGGTTTTGACCCTATGCCGTCTGCCAGTGAATGTCCAAGGCAGAAGAAGAGCAGGAAGACCAAGCCAGAGTTGGATCGCAAGGGCTGAGCGGGGCCGTCAAGGGAAGTGCATTTTGAGGGGCATTCTATTCAAAAAGTCCATATATTGGAGATGACTTGATGGCACCTAACGGCAGCCTTCTGTGCCTCCGGCCCACAAAGGGACTGTGGCCCCTGAGAACTTCTTCAAAGCAGGACCCAGCCCTTCGGCTGGGAGAGCTTCTGCAGCTCTGGGTTCAATCAGTGCAGTTTAATGGACCGGCAGGTGTTGAGAGCAGCCGCTCCTGCATGGCACCCGCTCCCAGGAAGCCCACTCAGGGCTGGGGGGCAGCTGCCGACTGCCCGCCTGCCCTGCTCCCGGCTCAAGCTGCTGCAGCCGCAGGGGCCTCAACCTGCAGCCGGGCACGCCTCCTCCAAGAACGTTCTGTTGAAGCGGCATCTCGCTTGGGGCCCACCTCCGGCCCCGACTGCAAACCGCCCTGCTGTGGAGACAGAAGAGTAAGGACCTGCCGGGAGGGCCCCGGCCTCCAGCCGCGGACTGTCTGGTGATGCCCCGAGTTCCCGCTGGGGAGGAAGGCTCCTGGACTGCAGTCTACTCCTCTCCCTCGCAAGAGAAACCTTCCAGGGGAGGCGCAACAGTGTGCTCAAGGGGAGCCCGGCTGCGGCAACAGGCTGGATGGGGGCTGATGACGGGCCGCTCCGGATGAGGAGGAGATGCTCTTCCCTGGGGGCTCTCCTGACTGGGTGGAAGGTGCGCCCCCTGTTCTGGATGGGGCCATGGCCTCATGAAAGGGCCAGCTGACCGCCTGGGGGCCCTTCCAGAGCCATCTTTGCCACGTGAGGCTCCAGGCACATCCTGCGCCTTTTAACAGCTTTGTTTGGTGGCCCGGCTATACACCTATCCGGACAGAGACAGCCTGGTTCCACTTGTCTGGGTTCTGGTAACTTCCACAAAGCTCCGCCCTGATTTGATCTGGGATCGACTTGCACGTCTTTCCAACGGGAGCTAGATCACAAGAATGCCGGGCAGCTAAACCAGTGGCAGGGCCATCTCTCACTGACTGCCCTTAGGGAAAAGCCTGGATTGCTTACTAATCTATTGCTTTCTTGTTGTAAATATTGTCCATTGTGATTTTATTGTTTTTCTGTTACCCTTAAGTTGCCTTGCTAGGATTACTATCCTGGAAGGAGGCATATAAATTATGGTAAACCATAAGGAGATGAACAGTAGGATAGAGTGGTTGAACAAAGTTCTCCCCACGGGAGAAGGCAGGAGAGGAGAACCTCGGGACCCACTGACTACACCCCATCACAGGCTCCACCCAACCAACATGGACCCCCTGGAAGCTGCCCCACAGCCCGCTCTCTCTGCTCAGCTGGAAAGGCGCGTTTTAAAATGTCACTCAGGACCCACTTTCTAGGATTAGCATTCCTTAAGAACTG